TCCCAGTACCCCCAGGAGGATGCAGGCAGTGGAAGTAACAAGCCTTTGCTACATAGATAGCTAGGTTCAAGCCAGCCAGGCTTATGTGACATCATACTTCAAACACCATCAACAGAACTGAATATATTCATGTTGGGGGGGTCCGTTATTAAAAACTTTCAAGTATCTGGTCCAAGCTCTGATTTTTCCTTAGTTCCAGGTTTCTGATCTAGTAAGGAAATGTTCATATATTCCTGACATCGCACCAAGACAAAACCCTGAGTGCTGGAGGGAAAGGAATGCCTGCCTCCACAGCACTGGGAAGTGAGAGAAGAATCCTCATGGTAGATCTTTTCAGAAAGTGATCTGAACACTTGTCAAGCCCTGTTGTCTGAGGATGACACCTGCAAGGTGTTACCGAGTTGTATTGGCCCAGTGCAGAAGTTGTGGGGAATCTACAGCTGGACACTGATGGGAAGCTGGCTCAGCTGTCAGCCACCCCCACAGGGCATAGAAGTAGTTCCAGAAGCCTGCACTGCCCTCTAGCCAAGTTCCCTGTGGAAAGGAGCCAGATGTTGCCTTGAAAAAGTCAATGAAGACTGGAAGGAGTTTGCCAGCTTCCTTTCTGATCACGTGTCTCCTCACATCATCCCCACCCTCACTCTGTCAGTGTCCCCAGACCCCTCTGGTGGGTGGTGAGCTGGTACCAGCTTCAGTAGCTGCCATCTTCAGCAGTCCCTCAGGTCTTGACTTGCAAGTTCTTGGTGGAAAGTTTGGCTCAGCACTTTAAAAACAAATACCTAAGGAAGGGGTGGAGAAGAAGTGAAATGCTGGAGACCTATGGCGGGGGAAGGGCCTGTGGCCGCAAGGCAGGGCCTCCTTCCCATCCTGCTGACCTTTGTGCAGCAACCTAATGGCCCTAGAGCTACAAGGACAGGGGCCCCGGGCTTCTTTGCTCTAGAGGAGGCACCAGCCAATGGCCAGACATGAGTAACCAAACCACTGAAATAAAAAAAGTAGCAAGTGCTGTAATAATAAAGGATGAACAACCAACCATAAGAACCAGAAGAGGGAGTAATTAAAACTAATTCATAATAATAATATGCCTGGAAATGTTACGGCTTGGCAGAGAAAGTGGAATTCAACCGGCCTTAAAAGATGTGTAAGAATAATAAGCGTTTATTATTAGCCCTGGGCAGTCATTGTGTCCATTCATTATCACGTTTTCTGCTTTTAGTATCTTGAGTTATTGTCCCAGTTTTACTACGAGGAGCAGAGGTGTGGAGAGGTTAAGTAAGATTTCTTCTGGTAAAGCCAGAGGGAAAGAGTATTTTAAATAGAAAAAATATTATGTAGAAAGGCCTAAAATAGCTGGCCATGGTGGCACATGCCTTTAATCCCAGTACCATGGAGGCAGAGATGGTGGATTGCTGTGAGTTCCAGGCTACCAGAGCTGCTATATAAAAGGGGGACGAGGTAGAAAGGAGAAGACGACAAGTCAGGGAGGTGCCAGTTATCCTTACAGTGCTTGTCACATTTAAAACACTGGTGCTGGGGAGATGGCTCAGAGGTTAAGAGCATTGCCTGCTCTTCCAAAGGTCCTGAGTTCAGTTCCCAGCAACCACATGGTGGCTCACAACCATCTGTAATGGGGTCTGGTGCCCTCTTCTGGTCTGCAGGCATACACACAGACAGAACATAATAAATAAATATTTAAAAACAAAAACAAAAACAAAAAACACTGGTGCTGGGCATGTTGGCACACGCCTTTAGTCCCTACACTCTGGGGGCAGAGGCAGGCAGACCGCTCTGAATTCAAGGCCAGCCTGGTCTACAGAGTGAGTTTCAGGACAGCCAGGACTACACAGAAAAACCCTGTCTGGAAAAATGAAACAAAAAGCCCACTGGTACAAATATCACTCTCCTCAGACAAACCTCAAGGGGTGGTATCTTCTCCAATATTGTATAATGCAAAACAAAAAAACGAGAACTTTAAAGATGGTGGGATGTGGTACACATTAAAAAGTGATTTTTGGCCAGGTGTGATGAAGCATGCCTTTAATCCCAATACTTGGGAGGCAGAGGCAAGTAGATTCCTGGTCTATATAGGCAGTTCCAAGACAGCACAGTGAGACCCTGTCTCAAACAAATCACCCTATGGGAAGTGTGTTAGTGAGAGGGTCTCATAGCTCAGCCTGGTTTCAAAGATATATAGCCAAGGGTGACTTTAAACTCCTCACCCTCCTGCCTCTTCCTCCCAAGTGCTAGGATTACAGGATTGTGATACCATGACTGGCTCTAAAAATCAATTCTCCTAAACTAGGCAAGCATGGTGACAGATGCCTGTATCCCAGCCTTGGAGGCTGAGACAAGAGAAAATCCTTTCAGGTTTGAGGCCAGCCTGTGTTACAGTGTGAAACCTTGTCTCAAAAACCTAATCTCTTAAGTCTGAATCTAAGGCAATGTTCTGGTTATTGCCCCCATCGTTTCCAGACCTTGAACTTAAAAAGTGTTTTAGCCAGACATGGTGGTGCAAGTTTATAACCCTAGCACTCAGGGCTGGAGACCAGTGGGAGTTTGAGGCTCATCTCTCTATGTAGGTAGATGGAAGGAGAGAGAAACTGTGGTATGGAAGCGAGAACACACAGAGGAATCCCTCCATTCCAGAGGCAGGTTTGGGGCCTCTGTGACTGGAACCAGGTTTGGTTCCCAGCACATACATAGGGTTCCACAACCATCCACAACTCCAGCTACAGGAAATCTAAAAATGCCCTCTTCTGACCTCCATGGACACCAGGCACACACATGGTACACAGACATGCATTCAGGCAAAACACTCATACATGTAAAATAAAATAATGTTTTCATAAAATGTTCTCATTAAAAAGAATCAAGCCCAAACAAAGATACATCAACAAAACATGGAACCACTATAAAATATTTTACTGATTCGCCAGGTGGTGGCACACGACTTTAATCCCAGTACTCGGGAGGCAGAGGCAGGTGGGCTCTCTGTGAGTTCAAGGCCAGCCTGGTCTACCAGAGCTAGTTCCAGGACAGGCACCAAAGCTACACAGAGAAAGCCTGTCTCGAAACAAACAAACAAACAAACAAAAAATTAGATTACTTTTATTTACTGTTAAGTTCCTAAGATAAATTATAGTAAGCCCTATGCTGAATTCACAAATAACAAGACAGAGCCTCGGGTGTGTGTGGTTAGAGGGTGCAGAGGGCAGGGCAACTCATCCCAAAGGACCATAATTAGTAAAATGACAAGATAATATGTAGTAAGTGTGGGAGTGACAGTGGCACAAAGCGACTGGAACTTGTCTGGAGTCAGATGCAGTGCCGCCACTTACTCTCAGTATGATCCCGTGTGTTTGTCTGACCTTTGTATGCCTGTCAGAAAAGGCTAATAACAGCCCTCACATCATAGAACTGGTGAAAGGAATAAACAAGATAAAGCAGATAAAAAGTGTGTGGCCTTAAGCACTCGATTAGCAGCTTCAAAACACAATAAAATATTAGCTATTTCCAAGTCCCCAGACCATTTGAGAAAATGCACCAATTAAGAGAACACGGGCTTTTGAGTTTTTAAGAGACAGGGTTTCGCTGAGTAGCCCTGGCTATCCTGGAACTTGCTCTGTAGACAAGGCTGGTCTCAAACTCCCACAGATCTGTCTGCCTCTGCCTCCCAGTGCTGGCATTAAAGGCATGAACCACCATTGCCTAGCTTGGAACCCAGGTTTTTCATTTGTTGGTTTTTATTTTTTGAGACAGGGTGTCACTTTGTAGCCCAGGCTGACCTTGAACTCAATTTGTGGGACCAACTATTCTGGAACTCACGACCCTCCTGTCTTCTCAGCTTCCTTAGTGCTGGAATTACAGGCATGTACCATCCTAGGAACCAGGCTTCTTTGGGGTGTTGGGGAGAGAATATTGGGTAGACCTAATCCAAAGTGAGGCCCTGGCCATTTGTTCTAGAATGAGTACTCATAAATGTACTGAAAATAATATGAATATTTCACTGGCTGTAGTGGTTTATGCAAGTAATCTCAGCACTGGGGAGGCTGAGGTAAGCAGCTGTATATAGAGACCTTGTCTCAAAACAAACAAAAAATTCATATACTTTGCTGTAGAAGTATCAGTATGTTTGTTATGCATGTTGCCTCAGTCCAGCTGGAAGGGTTGTCTAAATTCTCAGTCGTGTGGTACCACTGGTTTTCAGGCTATTTTATGAGACTATATACACACATATTCTCATATTCGTGTCTGGAGGACGCGGTTTAAGGTCTGTTCCGCTTAGTCATAAAATTAATTTTCTTATTACAAATCTCAGTATAGTTCTAAGAAATTCAGAATTTCAAACCCTTAATTCTAGTATTAGCGGGGAGAAAAAATACTGAGCTTGGAATCAAGCTTGACGTTTGACTCCCTCTACCAAGCTGTCATTATCTCCAGGGCAATGCCTAGCAACAGCTCCTGACCATAAGCAGGCCCTTCATAAATAAAAACTGAGTAAACAGAAATGGAGGTGGTGCTTCATTTGCAGGTTCTCATTCCGTTTTCCTTCTCGGTCCAGCCGCAGGCAGGGGACATTAGTAGTCATTGGTGGAAGAGAAGACGACGAGGCATGATCCATTACAGAACCGTGGAGACGCGAAGGACCCTAACTAAGTCGAGGTCTCCCTTAGAGCGTTCTACAGGGAGGCGGGACCTCTGTCCTACCCTAGACGAGCATCTGATGGTCCCTCCCTTTAAAGGGATAAGCTGTGGCTCTCTCCATCTTCTCTGAACTTTCTCCTCCCAGATCAACACTTGAACATGAAGCCTTCCACGGAGGTGGGCTGCCAGGGCCTCCGGAGGAGAGCCGAACTAGCGCCAGCCTGCAACGACTAGTCCGCTAGCCCCCGCCCCCAGCCCTGGAGGACCGTGGGTGGACGCTCTGGCTGCACGCCTCTCTCTCGCTGGTCCGGGAGGAGGTGGGCGGAGCCAGCGCCGCCCGGGCTGGGGAAGCGGAGGGTGGGGACACTCTGGCCCGGCTCTCGGTGGTGCGGGAGCAGCGGCCGCTCTGGTCGGCGGACGTGCTGCTGAGCAGTCCCGGAAGCGGAGCAGCGATGGCGGAGAGTCCGACTGAGGAGGCGGCGACGGCGACGGCGGGGGCCGGGGCGGCAGGCCCAGGGGCGAGCGGTGTTGCCGGTGTGGTCGGCGTTAGCGGGAGCGGCGGCGGCTTCGGGCCGCCTTTCCTGCCGGATGTGTGGT